AATCACCATTCCTAATGCTGCTGCCTGGCTTTGGGGATGATTGACATTTCAAGAGCTGAGCAAGCTTAGCATTGAATGAAATGCATTGAGGCAGAGCTGACACTAGGAAATGAACACATTTGTTCTACAAATATTTGCCAGGCACTTGTGATGTGCTGTCCATTGTGCGAGGCACTGGAGAGAGAAATGTTAAAATTAAATAGCCCGTGCCCAAAGAAGCCACAGCCTATGGATCGGACAAGTAGGCAATTGCCAATACAGTACAATAAATGCCACAACTGAGACAAAAAAAAGGGGGGTTACTAGAATACAAAGTCCAAGCATAAATTTAGTTTTAAAGGAAAAAGAAGGAATGCTTTGAGGAGGAAGAAATTAGGGGTCATTAGGGGTAAGAGGTGGCTAGGAAAGAATAGCATAGATAAAGAAGCTTGGTGGTGGAAAACATGGCCCCTTCTGGGAAATCAAACCATGTAGGGCAAGGAGGACAAGCACCTTACCATGGTCCTTAGTTCTCTGCATTGTCTACCTTCTCACATTTTTAGCATCCTTTACCGTTCATTGTTCTTCAGTAGTTCAGGCCTCTGTTCAGATCCCCCAACACTCCATGCCCTTTCCTGGCTCGGAGTCTTTGCCCACATGGTTAGGCCATGATTGGGTCAATCTTATCCTTCATCTCAGCCTAAACATCACCTCCTCAGAGACATGATCAAGTGATAACATCTCTTATGTAATTCTCCATCATGGCAACCTGCAGAATCCCCATATTAACACATATCTCATTTTGTAAACACTTCTCTTTGCATTTACTTGTTGATTGCCTGTGTATTGAAAGTCTCTATCTGAACCTCGGCCACTCTGCCTTCTTTCATGCGTCTAACTCAGCGGTACTTAGATGAATTTTGGAATCTGATTTAATGGTCCCAGATGAAAGCGATCTAATGTTTTATTAAGTCTGATACAGATGACATTCTGATATATATTAAGTTTACTTAATATTATGTGTACTTCATCATTATGATAAAGAAGTGATACATTCCCTGAAAACTTATCAATCTCTTAATATCTAGATAAGCATGAAGAGAAAATTATAAGACTCTCAGTCATTTATAATTTCTCTTTACGAGACCATGTATATATCACTTAAGTGTAGTTTATGACTGGAATTTCATGGCAACTCAGGAGTAGAGCTCAGATTTGAAAACACAATGCTCATACACAGACTTTGGTTTAGTCTGAAACCAGGCTTGGTTTCTCTTTATCTCTCTTTGCTCAGTATCCCCCAGATTCATCAGATGAAGGAAAAATAAATGTGTCTTTCAAAGCCATCCTTATTCAAAGAAGTTCTTTTTGCATTGCAGATCTGAAGTTCCTTGTATGAGCATCTTGTATGGGCTGGTGCCTGATTAAGCTGCATAGAACTAGGTATTTATAAATCTCACTGTCTTATAAAAATCCACAAGTCCTTAAACGTGATTCAAAAACAACGGGTAACCAAAGAAAGAAACTTTTAAGTAAATACTAAGAAAAAGTGACATAGGAAGTGACTAACAAAAAAAAGAGAAATTTGACACTACGAAAGTAAAATAAGATAAAATTAAAAACATCTTTAAGAAGATAATATTATAATAGCTTTTAATGGTTAGAAATCTTCTAGTAACAAAGAATATTTTCTCATTTATTTATCTGTGGTCGTATGATCCATAAGATTGGAATCTGCTTTCCTTAAGCTGAAAAGAAGACCTCAGAGCAAGAAAACGTTACTATTGTGCACTTTTGATGTCCTATGATCTTACTAGAATATCCTAATTCTGAAAAGTAATTTATTTTCATTTATGTCTATTATTTATACATCATTGATTTCACTTGTCAAGATCAAATTCATTGGTAGAGATCTTTGCAGGATGGCAGAACACTCCCCAAGGAACCCAACCCGAAGTTGATCCTGCATTTCTAACACAGCGCGTACACAGCAAAGACTAGACCTGAACGTCTAAATGTCTTTTGCTAGGAAGAAAATATCATAAGGCAGTTTTTCTTGGAGACGAGAACATGATCTATGGAAGCAGTCAGCCAGCCACATCACCCTTTTTACAGATGGTCCGCATTTTATTGTCTGTCAAATATCTCTGGGAACAAGAACCTGGATTGGGATTTATGATGTCTTCCTGTTGCACTTACTATCTGGTTTTTTAATCATCAAATATAAACTTTTAATTCCACTTAATGAATAAGAACCTTCTAACTATTTTCAAGAAAAACATAATTGGTCAAAATATACTAAGCAAGAATGTGGTTTTCATCAGATAATTGTTTTTATATGTTTCCTATAATCCTCAGTTGTTATTACCTCATTGATTATTACATTTAAAAGACATTAGGCAAGGGCCGGCCTGGTGGCATAGAGGTTAAGTTCAGTGCACTCCACTTTGGCAGCCTGGGTTCAGGGGGTCAGATCCCAGGTGTGGACCTGCACCACTCATGAAGCCATGCTGTGGCAGTGTCCCACATACAAAAATAGAGGAAGATGGGAACAGACGTCAGCTTGCTTACAATCTTCCTCAAGCAAAAAGAGCAGGACTGGCAACAGGTGTTACTTCAGGGTCAGTCTTCCTCACCAAATAAATAAATAAATAGATGAAAGACCTTAGGCAAATCAATTGATAATATGGTTTATTTGGGGGGAAAACATCTCAGTGTTCCTGAAGCCTGTATCATGATGTGCCAGAAGAAAATGTCATGACTGACGCAATTTTTACAACTGTCAGCAGTGGGTTCTACAGTGCCAGAGGGCAACAAATGGCCCAAGGTCTCCATGTGAGGTGTCGGCTCTGTCCTCTTCCTGGGGAGGGCAGAGCCGCCGGCCTCGTGCTTCCTTCCTCAAACACTGGGGCAACTTCAGTCCCAGCTGCTCACCAGCAGAGTGCAGTCAGACACATCTGTGCTGACAAAGTTCTCTGAAAAAACAGCTGACACAGCTCTAGCTCTTTCACAACTGCTGGGTTTAGACGCTGGCGTGTTTAGATGGGGTACTGGTGGGATACAAAGGGTTTTATTTTTAACCAAAGGGAGCATTTAACACTATTATTTATATATTGCTTAATATAAACGTATTCCTTTCTTCCCTCCCTACCACCACCAACACCCCTCACCTCCCGACACACACACATACTGTTATTTCGTCACCCATCTCAGATCCCATGAAGCAAAATTTTAATGGGTTGGGCTGAAATTTTATAGAGGAAATAAAAGTCTGAAGATCACTGCTCCAAACTCTTAATAGACAATAGGTATCTGCTCATATCATTTTAAGAATCTTAATGATCCTTAAAGGGATATTTACTAACAGACATAGCAAGCATCGTCATGCTTCCCTACTTAAGCTCTGAGAATATTCTAAGATGTACATAATTAATGAATGACTACAGCAATTTAAGCCATGACAGAACCAAATTTATTATATAATCTTAATAGAAGCACTACATATATTGACTTTATGAAAGTTTTCCCAACATAATAAGATTTAATCACATGTTCTTTTAAGTTATTAGAAATGTGAATGTTTATGTCTGTCCTAAGTACTGACATCTATCAACTAAGTGTATGCAATTTTTTACTTTGCACGTTTAAATGTGATCCCATCCATTTGTCTATTCACTACCCACCATCAGTGCAATACTCTTAAATGAGCAACCTTCAAATATCCTTTTAAATATTTTAACATCACAAAGTTCCTTCTATTCGTAACTAGGTATGTTTTGGGTGGGTATAGAAATAGCTGCTAGCAGAGATTCAGGGTTTCATAAAACACAGAGCAAATGAGAGAAAATGATTTTAAATTTATTTGATTTAACTTGATTTAGGTAAACAGGATAGATTAAAAAAAAAAGATGACTTTTATGTTTATGTGCATTGGCAGGAGAGGTGAAAGGTAACTGACCGATTCAACCTCCTCTCTGAAATGGATGGATAAGATGTTGTAGCTGGAATCAATACTTGGCATTCACAAGAGTCTCATAAACCTATAGTGACTCGAGCTGTTCACCTAAAAAAAGTAATGATACTGTAAAAATGATTCTTTTCAGCTTTTAATTTAGACTATATAAAAGATAAAAAAACAAAAAACACTTGTATAGAAAGAAAGCAAGCAATTGCATTCAGAAACAATCTGCCTAAAACCCAAATGGGTAACCCTCCCCAAAAAGAGCCAGATAAGAATTCTCATAAATTCTGTTGGATCAAATAATAACATCGTGTGTTTTATATTTGTATAATGCTACTCGATTATGTACATTTCCTAGCAGTGAACTTGATCTATAAAAGAATTGTCATCTGACTATATTCACCATTATTCCTCGCTTGTTTAGATTTTTGTTTGTACAACTGGGGAAAACGATTGAGAAAATTAAGTCATTCAGATATTCAGTGAAGGAACTAAGAATATCATAGTCTTTACTCTTAGTTTTGTTTTTTGTTTTTTTACTAATCCTTAAAAGGAGTTAAAATTTGGAAATTATATAATTTAAGTATAAAAACTGAATTTTTTCTTATGAATTACAAAATCTTAGGCATAACAAAAATTAGCTGTGATGCTAATCACAAAGTCATGTACTAACCAATTTTTGAGAAACTAAATTATAGCAAATAAATGCCCAGCATGAGAATTGCATTTTGTCTTCAAGCCCCACAAATTATGAAGATTCCCAATAAAGATTCTCATTAGCCAATTTGGTCAGCTCATCCTAGGTTTGGGGGATAAGTTTCAGCACCATGAACTTTGATCCCCAGACCTCATCTTCCTGTGAACACAGACTAAATCAGGTTAGCCATTGGTCCCACATTTTGTACCTTCATAATGCAGAACTTCAGTCCTATTCCAGAAGGCTCTCTTCTAGCAGAATCTGCAGGGCATTGATTATATACCCGATGAGCCATAGAATCATCAAGACCCAGGCCAGCTCCACTCGGAGTTGCTCCATACTCTGCATGGTCCACTCTTCTATCTCCTTCTGTTTCCCACTTAGGTATTCGGAGCACCATTCAGGCTGATGCTCATGCTGCTACTGAACTGCCCCAGACACTGGTGTCATCTCCATTACCTGAAGAGGACAATGAAATATCTCCTTTACCTTTATCCTGCTTCTGTGTAGCAGAGTCTCAAATGAATACAGACTTCAGGGTCGTGGCTCTTTGAGAATGTCACACAGCACTTTACGCCCACAGCATACAATGCTTCCAGAAAGTCTAGGTCAAGGCAGCCGGACAGTACCAGGAGCCTCAGGCCCTGTCGCTGAAGCTGCCCCATCGTGCCACACTTCACAACTTCCAAGGTAGAGTTCTCTCTGAAAACTCACAATCTTGCCATCTGTCTCCGTTCTCATATCTCAATCTATTCAGCTTATCAGTCTCCATGTGCCACTTTCCCATGAGGCATTTCAACATCCATGTAAATCAGAAGTGATGCATAAACTAGGTGTCAGGAGCATAGGGGAGCACAAGGCATTATCTATTTCTGTGAGCCATGCTTAACATACAGCTACTCAGTACCAAAGAACTCAGTCGCTACAATATAGAGATAATTACAAACAAATGAGTGACATCAACGAGATCTAAGTTGTCATAAATACAATTTCATATTTTTTTATGAATGAAAAAATATTTATCTTTTTTCAAAAATTCACTTGGAAATTATTTTCATGATACAGTACCATGATCATGATTTTATCATACTCTCCAACAACATCAATAAGAAAAACCAGCTCAGGGCAGGCCCTGTGGCATAGTGGTTAAGTCCAGCACACTCTGCTTTGGCAGCCCAGGTTCACAATTTTGGATCCTGGGCATGGACTGACACCACTCGTCAAGCCACACTTTGGTGGTGATCCACATACAAAATAGATGAAGATTAGCAAGGTGTTAGCTCAGAGTAAATTTTCCTCAACGAAAAAAAGAAAAGAAAGCTCTCAAGCTCTGAAGCTTTTCCTATACTCTGCTCTTCTCCCCCAAGGCCCTAACATTCCACACACATTCCATGGTTGCCAGGATGCCCTGCTTTATTCAGCATTACATCACCAGATGCTAGGAACATATCTGGAGTAGAGTGGACTTTTGTGGTAAATATTTGTTGAGTAAATAAATAAATAAGCTCTTTTAGTTTGCTGGGTATGCCACAACAAAATACCATAGACTGGAATGCTGAAGGAACAGAAATTCATTTTCTCACAGGTTTGGTTTCTCCTGGGACCTCTCTCCTTGGCTTGGCAGCTGCCTTCTCCCTATGTCCTCACGGTCTTTTCTCTGGTGTTCCTTTGTGTGTCCAAATTTCCTCTTCTTACATCACCACCAGTCAGCTCAGATTAGGGCCCATCCTAACAGCCTCATTCTAACTTAATCACCTCTTTAGAGGCCCTATTTCCAAATACAGTCACATTCTGAGGCACTGAGGGTTGGGGTTTCAACATACGTGTTTTAGTTTTAGGATGTGATGGAGCCCATAACTTGAATTAAGAATATTTACACCATCCACTCAAAATTCAAGATTGCAGTAGGAGGGGCAGAGGCTACCTTACTTCTGTGAAAAATTTCATATCTATCTGTTCAGCTAGTCAATATGCATAGGCTACAAGAAATCTAAATTATTTTATTAACAGAGAAGAAATTCAGTAAACACAATGCATTTTAATTGGGAAAAAAATCAAGAAATTACTTCAAATGCCAGTATTTGTACAAGAAAACTTGTTAAGAGTCTGCAGCAGTTCTCCTGAGAGCCCTTTACAAGCATATGGAGCAAGCCATCCTTAGAGAAAGTGTGAAGAAGGAAGGGTAGCAGAGAAGAGGGGAAAATGGGAACAAACCTCTGGAGCATCTACACCCAAGGGCAGCCTTCAGACTTTAAAACCTAATTATATAGACAGGCTTAGTAAAAACTTTTCATAAAGTATCATAAAAGAGAAGCAGAATCCTGCAGTGGAGGAAAGCAGATGCCAGAAGAAAGTGGCCCTGTGCCCGAGTACCTGCCCGCCACACCCACCTGTGATCTGGACAAGTTATGTAACCTTTCAGAACCTATTTCTTCTTCTGTAGACAAATAGTAATTGGAGATTAAAAGAAATAAGGTAAGAAGAGAGCTTTGCACAGTGGCTAGAGAACAATAAATATTCAGTACATGGCAGTGAAAAAGAAGGAAATGAATGAAACATGCTAAATATGTGATTGTCTCATGTTAATTTATGATTACAGATCTATGGTTCATTGTCACATAGTTAACTACTGGTTCAGAGCAGGAGATATAACATGGAATCATCATCATCTTCTTGTTCATTATCATTAGCAACCTTGTGTAATTTATATTCATTGAAGATTTATACTGAGAGACGATATACTTGAAGTTTTATACACATGATCTCATTTAATGCCCCCACTACGCACATACACACACACACACATACACTTTATGAGGTAGGTATTACCATTACCCACATTTTACAAATGAGGGAAAGAGATTCTCCCAGTGTCCATATACTTACCTGTAACTTAGGTCTTTATGATTCCAGACTCTGAAGTTTGGCCCAGTGTAGTCACAGTCGATTGCTAGTAATATTCAGATTGAATCCAGAGAAGTCAACTGCAGAGGTATGTTAATGAGATTATTCAAAATATTCTGGGTTAAAATTATCTATTTATTGGAAATCTGACCAAACACAAGTCAAATGTTTTCTCTTGTGTCCTATTTTATAAAGAAGAGATAACTGCCAAGTAGATAAGTTGACTTGGTACACACATTTAAGCAGGTAACTAATCTGTAGGCTCTTTCACTTAATTGATGTGGACCGTGGGCTGATCCTCCCAGAGGAACAGCCTTGGCTCTTCACCCTGAAGAGAACCTCTGCACTGACACAGAACTCACTGCGGGGAAGCCATGCCCTTCTTCTTGACGGCCCGGGTCACTGATGTGCAAAGACAGGATGCTCGGACCAGCATGGACAATCTTGTCACCATCACAGGAAAGCCCAGAGCCTCTCAGAGGGGTTGAATTCAATAACTCTGGAACAGCAGATAATAGGGCTTCTTGTTATAATTCTTGATTTAATTGTCCTTATTGTTGGTCATGTTTAATTGAGCTTTCTCTTACGGAGAGCTGAAAGGCCCCCTGAATGACCCGGTTTGTTTCCCCACGCAGAAATCTTGAACAATCAAATGTGAATTGACTGCAATAACTTCTATATTCACTGATTTTCTTTCCAGTTCAAATACAAGCTTACTATACTCCTTCCTGGGGAAAAATAGATTATAATTTTAGAATAGAGAATATGGAAAGTTGTTCTTACAGAAAAACTATTTTTATGTATGACTAAATTAACAAAAAAGCCTTGGGCAAAAAAATGAAAAGTTTCAGCAAAAACAATTTCACTGATGATGTGAAAATTTTCCATGCAGCTCTAATTACGAGTATGTTTCCCGTAAAACAATGGTCATTGACCATATTCAGATCAATACCATGCCAAAAAGTAAAAAATAAAGAATGCCTCTTGCCATAATTTTAAATGATAGTTTTGCTAAAAAGAAATTCATTTACATTTTGCACATATTGTTTCATCATCAATAACATAAGAATTCACTCTAGCTTTCTGCAAAAATTGTCACACAGCATATTCTCAGTGCACACAATTCAAAATGTGGAGACCTGGGGGCCAGCCCAGTGGCGTAGCGGTTAAGTTCACACACTCCGCTTCTCAGCGGCCTGGGGTTTGCCGGTTCAGATCCTGGCTGTGGACATGGCACCGCTTGGCAGGCCATGCTGTGGTAGGCATCCCACATATAAAGTAGAGGAAGATGGGCACGGATGTTAGCTCAGGGCCAGTCTTCCTCAGCAAAAAGAGGAGGACTGGCAGTTGTTAGCTCAGGGCTATTCTTCCTCAAAAAAAAAAAAAAAAAAAAAGTGGAGACTTGGTTGCCTGTGGACCGTATGTAGAGCTGTTGCTGAGGCCTCCCTGGTCCCTATTACCCCTGACACACTTCCCTAACTTTTCTAACTACCGTCACACAACCACTCACCATTGTGGCCTCCAGTCATCCGGACCATCACTGAAATTTCTTTTAAGGGCAATAGAAACATCAAGAGGAAACATTCAGAAACCAAAAGACATTTCTCTTCCCCTATAGTTCAATCGCGCAATTGTGATGATACAAACGTAGCCTCCTTTATGTTAAGGATGGCGATACTAGATGGTCGTCTGAGGCGATTGAGGCCTGCTCATCACACTTGAGTGAGCTCGAAAGCTGACCCTTCAGTCCTGGTCAAGCCAGATGAGATGACTGCAGAGCTGGGAGACAGCTTGACTGCCGAGACCCTGGGCCAGAATCGCTCAGCTAGGTGGCTCTAGGATACGGGAACTTCAGAACCTGCACGAGATAAGAAGTATATTAACCTGCTAAATTTTGATGAATTTGTTCACAGCAATAAATAACATACAGCTAGAGACTGAACGAGAACTATTTTCTTGGCCATACTAGTTAAGAATAAGTAAAAAAGAACTTGAAGACTGATGGTAGAATTCACTTTGTGGCATTTGAAATTCATGGTGTATGGGTATTGGTAACAAGTGCTTATTTCAGACTTTAGGTTTGATCATTGTCAATGTGTTGTTTTGCCTTTTATGCAACAAAGCCTCAAGTTAACATGGCCTTATCTGTCTGCTTTCCATCAAATTATAGTTGCCTATCTATCTATCCATCTGCCCATCTATCCACTCATCTACCCATCCAGCCATTCTCTCGTTGATCTATTTTTCTCTCTACAGATTTGGACCAAGCAAACCCCATCTGAACATTAACAGTCAAGATTATTGGGTCTAGAGAGGGCAAAATCTTCTTTCCTGACTTATTCTATCTTCAAGAGCTAAATTTATTTTTTAATGTGCTATTAATTATATCATGATACTTCATGGTGTTAAGAGGTAAAATCATAATATAAAATCTCAGGCAAATAAAATGAAAAAAAATAGTTGAAGGCAGAAAAAAACTAAGTAAATAATAAAAACATGCCTAATACAGTTTAGTCAATCTCTATTGAGACAGGTATACTGTGTGACATTTTGCTAAACAGGTGGATTTACTTTAACCAAATCATATTTTATTAGAACTTCCCCTGTTTAGACAATGTAAAACGAAAGTTTTAGATTTACTGTTAAAAGTGCAGACAACCGAATCCTAAAATTAAAAAATTCTTTTTACTACTAACATAGTAACTCTTTCAGTTATGTATTGCTGCACAGCAAACCAACCCAAAACTTAATTCCTTAAAACAACAACAATGTGGGGGCCGGCCCGGTGGCGCTGCGGTTAGATTCACACATTCTGCTTTGGAGGCCGGGGGTTCTCCAGTTCGGATCCCGGGTGCAGACATGGCACCGCTTGGCAAGCCATGCTGTGGTAGGCGTCCCACATAGAAAGTAGAGGAAGATGGGCACGGACGTTAGCTCAGGGCCAGTCTTCCTCAACAAAAAGAGGAGGATTGGCAGCAGATGTTAGCTCAGGGATAATCTTCCTAAAAAAAATTTTTTTTTAAAACAACAATGTATATATTATTTCTTGTGATTCTGCAACTAAGCCTGGATGTATCTGGATTTTGTGTTTTGTGAGTTAGTTGGTGGTCCATGTAGTCAACATCCAAGATAGTTTTATCATTTAGGATGGGTGGAACAGCTGGGAATTTACAGGACTTCTTGCTTAAAAAGAAAAAAGAGGCTATCATACAGCCTCTCGCTGTGCCTAACCTCACACAACAATGGTCTTCACATGAGACTTTTTACATGATGGCTGACTTCCAACAGAAAGGAAACAGAACCTGTCACTCCTCTTAAAGGCTAGGTCTGAAACTGATAGCTTCATTTTCACTGAATTCTCTTGGTCAAAGAAAGCTACAAAGCCAGACCAGATTCGAGGAGAAGGGTAATAAACTCTACCTCGTGATGTCAGGAGCAGCCTGTACATGCAGGGCAGGAAGGAATGGATGGTAACTATCTTCAGAGGATACCCACCCCAGTCCTCACCCTCCGGCCACGCAATTCACAACTCTCCTACGTGCAAAATGCATTCTTTGTATGTACACGTAGAGTCTGTTCTAAGACCTCCGAAGCCTCAGCCCATGGGGGCATCAGCCTCAGACACGAAATCCAGTATCTCATTTTCAATGTCAGATCCAGAGACACAGGAGTGCAATTAATTCCTCAAGATCAGAGACCTGGGAAATAAGACAAGTTATCTTTCCTCCACGTACCCAGTGCACAGTAGTAAGACAGCATATTAATGTCCAATTTCTGCTGTAACAAATTACCATAAATTTAGCAGTTTAAAACAATGCAAATATATTTTCTTACCATTCTGGAGATCAGAAGTCCAAAATCAGTTTCCCTGGGCTAAAATCAAGGTATTGGCAGACCTGCATTCCTTACGGGGATGGTAGAAGAGAATCTATTCCCTTGCCTTTTCTGGCCTTGAGAGGCAACTTGCATTTTGTTGACGTTTTCCTCCATCTTCAAGCCAGCAGTGTAAAGTGTGACACGTTCAGATCTTTCTCTCTCTCCTCTCTCTCTCTCCTGTATTCCTCTCATCAAAACCCTTGCTTCTGTTGTCTCATTTCCTTCCCTCTAACTCTGACCTTCTTGCCTCCCTCTTAGAAGGACCCTTGTGGTTACATTGGGCTCACCTGGATAATCGAGGATAGTCTCCTCATTACAAGAGCTTTAACTTAATCACAGGTGCAAAGCTCCTATTGCCATGTGAAGGAATATGAGGCGCCATGTGGTGGATAGGATAACGCCCATTCAAAAAGGGGAAAACACATGAATTATTTCAGTCATTAGTCCATAGCAATTCTGAAATCCAGCAAGGAGTATTTCTCAAGTCTTCCCTGCCCCAGAGGCAAGGTACAGGTATGTTCCTTGGCTTGGATATATATGTGCTCTCGGAATGGTTTTACATGGTTCATGAGTTCTTCCTACAGGCTCTTAGCCCCACCCTGTGAGTTATCCTTTTTTTTCCCCATAAGAATGGTTAGTGTTTTCAGTTGAGTAGCTTTCTCAGTCTGCTTCCTGCCCACAGAAGTTTGCACATTCAAAGGCCTCTTTTCCTTCTTTTCTGTCTCTGTCTCTTTTTAGTCACATTTGTGGTAATTTTGCTGATAAAATTCTCTTGAAAACATTGTGGGTTTTCTATGAATCTCATTAGGTTGTATTTCATTAGATCAAAGCCACACTCACAAATCTTTTTGAGGCAGGACCCCCTTATACTTCATTTTGTGAGACAGGGTGCTGTGGGGCCATGATCTTAAGATTCATGACCTGAAGATGGTTAGAAATACCTTCATCTAGAGAAGAGGCTCTAATTATAGGCACTGCCTTAAATTTTTTTGAGGTCTTAACTCTCAATTTGGAACAGCAACCCTGGGTCCATGTTTTATTAGCAGTACCGTGGATCTGGTCTTTGCCCTGAGGTCATTTTTACTCTGAAAATCTTTTGCTTTCTGGAAGAGCTGGGAATGTAACCCAGAAAAATTCTTGTTTAGTCTCCTTGAATACCAAAGTATTCCTTCTTTATTTCATCTTTCTCTTGCAATACACTGTCATAGACAGCTTAAGGAAGCCAAATTTAGTTGCCAAAGTCTGCCTGGAAATATATGTATTCACATCCACAACTTCGTTAGGTCCAATTTTTATTTTCCATATCACGGAACGTGACCGTCTGACTAATTGTTTTAAGAATACATAGCACAGCTTCACTCTCTAGAATTTCTTCCCTTCCAAGGTCCACAAATTGTCTCTTTGCTTCCCGTCAGGCCTCAGTCTGGTCCCCAAACTAATACCATATGTTTCAGGTTTTTGTCATGGCAGTGTCCCACTTCTAGGTACTAATTTGTATTCCAGTTATCTATCATTAGAGAAACAAACCCAAAATGTGAGGTTTACATGTGAGAAACAAACCCAAAACTGTAGTTCATTTTTTTCATAAGCACAATTTATTATTTCTCATGATTCTGTAATCTGAGGCAGGCCCAGCTGTGCAGCTGGTCTGTTCTACATGGTACCTCCTGGGGCTGGATCATTCAAGAGGCCTTTTTCATTCCCAAGTCTGGTGCCTCAGCTGGAAAGGATGATACAGTTTGTAGTGGACCCATCATCTTTCTCTCTCCACCTGGATTCTTCACATGGCTAGCTTAGGATCCCTTACGGCATGGTGCTATCAGACTTCTCACATGCAGCTTGACTTCCAAGATTGCAGAAATTGAAACAGCCAACATTCTTAAGGGCTAGGCCCAGGACCAGCACAGCGTCGTTTCCATCTCATACGATTCCTCAAACAAGTCAAAGATCTACTTAGATTCAAGAAGAATAGGAGTAGACTTAACATTTTGGGATGAGGTGCAGCATACACATTGGGGACAGGGAAGGAACTGATAAGTGTCCTCTTTGGAAACTAGCATATTCATTTATATTTTGCCCACTTGCGTTATAATTTTCTAATGGAAAACACTTAAAATCACCGCAACTTCAAATTGTGGTAGTAATTTTTTTAATAGCCTTTATTTTTTAGAGCAAGTTTAGGTTCACATCAATAGTGAGCAGAAGGTACAGAGAGTTCCCATCTACCCTGCCGGGGAGGAAAAATTTCCCTTCTCCTCTTCTAGGTTCTTTGGCTAGCCTAATAATTAAATTGACATAGGAGAGTTTAACAGGAGAAAAACAAATAAAAGTTTAATAACATGTTGTGTGAGAGAGACCCAGGAAAAACGAATAACTCTCCAAAATGGCAGAAACCACCACCTTAAATATCCTCTTCAGCTAAAATCAAAAGAAGATGTTGAGGGTGGGGAGTCAGTTACGGGCACTTACCAAGAAGCTGTAATAAACAGGAGTAAGGCTATTATTCAGATTTAAGTCCTTGCCTTCTTCATTGATAAGAACTAGAGATTTGGTCAACCTCCTCTTTCTGGTATTGAGAGGGAGATACTCTTAGAGATGGAGATTTCCCTTATAAATGTAAATATCTCTTATAAAAGAGTAACTTTTACTCAATTTTCAGAGCTTCTCTTGCGTCTGCAGTTTCTTAAAAACAACAAGCATGAAATAATCCTTATGTCAAAAAGGCATATTTGGGGTGGCAAATTCTCCCCCACCCCTCTATCCCCTGCTCCAACACGTGCAGAGCCTCCCTCACTATCAACATCCCCTACCAGAGTGGTACACGTGTTACAACTGATGAACTTACATTGACACATCATTATCACCCAAAGCCCATAGTTCACATTAGGGTTCGCAGATGCTGTACATTCTATGGATTTGGACAAACTCATGATGATGCATATCCACCATTATAGTATCGCACAGAGTAGTTGCACTACCCTAAAAATCCTCTGTGTTCCACAGTAGCAAATCTTTTCATTTAACATCGTGTGGTTATAATTTACATCTAAAAAACGTTA